AAGGAATAGTAAAGGGTGATGTCAGGTGATAGTTGCTATGCGTCAACTATCTAGAGTAATGTTGGAAAGTTGAAGATGGGTAAGGGGGTTGATGAGGGAAAGGGTTATGGTGGTTTAGGTAAGGGAATTAGATCAAGTGAAGGATATTTATGCATCTGAGGAAGGAGAACAGGTTTATAAGAAGCAAGGATATGACGCAGGTCTGGTCTGTGAGTACAGAAGCCGCGAATATTCCAGTGGAGGAGAGCTATATCTTAGTTATTTTATGAGTGAAAGCGCCGGTACGTGTTGGGGAATCGGGAGGGGGGGAGCTAGGGGTGTTGTGACATGAGTGATTCCCGTGTGTATCCGGGAGGGAGTGGAAAGGATGAGGGAGGAAGAATGTGTGTATTGTTTGGAGTTAAAGGGAGTGGGTTGTGTTGGGAGGGAGTAGGAGGAAGTGGTGTGGGGGGAATAATAGTGGTAGGAGGATGGATATCGGAAGGATGGATAGTTGGAGTTGAGGGGATCTTGGAGGGAGTAGGAGGAAGGGGTGTAGAGGTGCTATGAGTAAGAGGGGATGGATTTCAGTAGGATGGATATCGGTGGTGGACGGAAGTGAAGGGGTTAGGTTGTGTTGAGAGGTATTAGAGGAAGGGGTGTAGGGGAATATGTAGGAGGAGTATGGATATCGGCAATCACTAAAAGTGTGGAGGGAGCATGAGTTATGGAATTTTGTGTCTCAAGCATATAGCTTTGAATGTCTTCCATAGTTTCTGCAGTGGAGTTGGTTGAAGAGTTTTGTGGGGACAAAAGCTTTTCTTATGAGGGGTGGGGGGAGGAGACTGGTGTCTGAGGAGTAAAGGTAAAGTAGGTGGAGGTGAGTGTGCGGTAGGGGAAGAAGGGGTGAAACGTTTAGTCTGACTGTTACGAGACGGGAGGGATCGCGTCGGGTACGGAAAGGGACTCTGCCTACATGTTTTGGGAGACATTGTTGGAAGAGAATAGTGTTGCCTGAGTAAGGAGCTGTAGGGGGATCACGAAAAATCGGTCTCATTTAGCTGGGCTAAATAGAGTAATTAAGACATTAGTAGGGTTGGTGGTGGTAGGAGGACGGGGGCGTGTGGAAGCGGGTGTTGTTGAGGGGGGTAGTATTACGGAGAGATGGAGAATAAGGCTGTAAGGTAGTAGTAATAAGGGAGGTTGGGGTGTTTGAAGAAGAAGGTTGTAGGGGTAGAGTAGATGAATTTGAGGAAGTTGGGAGGGCAGGAATGTCTTCTGGAGATTGAGTCTCTGCTTGGGTGGGTGAATGCACTAGTAGGCATTGAGGAGTGAGTTGTAGTTTCAGTGTTCGGAGACGTGGTCAAAGGAGAGCCTGGGGTCGGGGAGCCGGTGGGGCTATTTGATGAAGGGGCAAGCCTCATTGCCCCTAATAGGGTATTACATCTTCATTACTGGCCATGGGAAGCATTGACTATGTAAAGGGACATAAACAGTCCACCCCCCAGTGTCCTGTAGGGGTAAGGGCTAGGCAATTAAATCAGGGGAGTACCGTGCCCAAGGTTCCCGCAGGCCGTTCAGGACTGGCACAAGGTCAGCCTTAAACTTTAAACACTTTATTATGTCTGTCTTACATAATACATTATTGAATTTGTTTCACAGATGACAAACAGCCCTTTGCAAGCAAAGCTTTATGGGCAAGAAAGTAATGTGTTAGAGAACATTTTGATACAAACAAACTAAGGGAGAAAGATAAATACAGCGAGGTAAAAAAAATGAAATAGAAAACTAATGTTTGGAAATAATGAGTAATTAAGAGCTTAAAATGAACATGAAAAATACAATCAATAAATAATAGTTCACTAAATCAATGAAACAGCTTAAAACATCACTAAAACAGCTTAATTAATATGAAGATAAATATTACATTCAATGATTATGACGAACATAACTGTAAAAGTTGTAAATACTGTACAATATGAATACAATTCAATAAAAACACAATAAATAATACAGTCAATAAAATAATAACAAAACACACATGGTAGTAACAATATTAATCATAAAACAGTTATAATCTTAATAGTGAAAAACACATTAACATTATAAACATCATATTTGTATGGTAACAATAATATAATATAATACAAATATTTTAATAACAAATTGAGTAATTATCACAAACGTAAAGATGCCAACAAATTATATACAAATAGTGATATCATAAAAAGATATATAACAAAGTTGATGGATGATGACTATGGTGTCTAGATTATAAGAAAGCATATTAGTATAGCAAGACTAATAAAGGAAAATCAAATATTTCTTAAATTTGTCTTTGAAGGATCGAAGGCTATTTGCTTGTTTAATATAAAATGGTATATCATTCCATAATCTTGGGACCTAAATAAATAAAAGGTAAAAGTAGTGCATTTTGGTTTCTGGTTTGATAACTATGTAAAGGTTGGGTAATATAACTTCTTGATTTTATTTGTTTATACATATATATTGAAGTATTAAGCTTAGTGAGATCAGTAAGAGTCATAATTCCTAATGACGAATAATGGGGTTGTGTGTTGGCGGTATTCACTATTGGTCATTATCCTAATAGCTTTCTTATGCAGTACAATGAGATGCTTTAGATGACGAGGATAAGTATTTGCCCAGATGGGATTACAATAGTTGAGATGTGGGAAGATATGGGCATAGTATAAACATTTGAGAACTTCAGCTGGGGCAAAATATCTCGTTTTGAGAAGGATTGGAATTGTTCTAAATATTCTTAAAGAAAGGTTAGATATGTGGTGTTTGAAATTAAATTGATTATCGAAAGTTATACCAAGAAATTTAATTTTGTCAGTTGGAAAAATATCCTCATTCAAAATAGATAGATTTGGTAATGGTAAATAGTTTGTGATAATATTAGTATGTATCATGTAGTAAGTCTTGGCAGTATTTACCGTTAGTCGGTTTGCTAAACACCAGTCTGAGAATTTCATGTTCTGTGTTTGCTCGATTAATTAAATCGGATTATTTCCGATCATGTAGAATTTTGTAATCAACCGAAGGTAAGAAAATATAAATAAATAATAAATAAATAAATAAATAAAAATAAAAAATTTAGTATAACTTCTTAAAGTGCTATATATTTTTAATGTCTGTTGAAATGGTTGTTCTTTTTCATGTAATAGAATTTTGTAATCAACCGGAGAAAAAAAAATAGTTGAGTCTGTCCTTAGAATTCTCTAAATTCTTATGGCAATACTTTCTGTTATTAAATGTGTATTTTAGGGAACACGTGTATTTCAGGGTAATTATTGTAACATATTTTCTCTTTATCTATTGTATTCTAGTGCCGGGATTTCAACATATGGCATAATTAGCAATTGCACATCTACAACATATATAGCAAAGAACTGACCAATCAAAATCTTTAAACCGGGAGTACAAATTCTAAACTGACGAATCTTAATCGATAATTGTATTTTCTTTGGCCTTTAATACAGCAGGAACTAATACCGGTATAAAGTCTCTTTTATAGCGTTATTCTAATGCCTTTATTTAGCATTAGAGCAATTTGATTTTAAAAAATCACAACTCGATTAGTTTACCATTCCCTTTGAATTTATGTAATCCCGTTTTCTGTGAATGAACGAGATTGATCATTACAGGCAATACTCGTCTATATTTGAGTAGAAGTTCATATCTAAGTGCTTTTTGTCAAGTTTATTTTTCTAGTATGTAAGGATTGTAATTTGTGGCGTCGTGTCACCGCACAGCTACAAAATATATGTACATGTAAGTAAACACACACGCACACAAACATGTTTGTTATAAAACAAATGTGCTAGACTTCAAATGACAGAGGAAGGTTTGGTAGAGAAAAAGGATCAATGGGGGGTAGTTAATAATACATATCATAAGGTTGTACAGCGGTTTAGGATAGTGTAGTACGTGGTATAATTAAAAGGTAATTGGTAGCTCTCGGGGGGGACTGGCAACGATTTGTATTTGTTGGGTTACAAGTTAAAGAAAACGGTGACTACTTGTTGAGGGATGCGGTATAGAAAACGGGATGCCGACGAACTGGCGAGTTTTCGGTGGAGGTCATGGAGTCCTTCAAGTAAGGATGAAGAGTGATGATTAAGAAAGGACGGGACAGAAAATTAAGTCTTTTTTGGAGGAGGATGAGATGGAGTGGGCGATGTTGGGAGAGAGGAAAAAAAGAGTATATTTTGTAGGCCGAGTCATGGGCGGATGATTCGGAAAGTATCGAGTTGACAGCAAACATTGGCGAGGGTGGTGGTAGTAGCAGTAGTGTTCAGAGTCGTAATCAAAGGAGAACCGGAAAAGGTGAAGTTTGAGGAGCTAGTTGATAAAGGAGAAAGCTTCAATGCCCCTAATAAGTGTACAAAACATCATTGGCCACGGTAAGCCTGAAGTATGAGGAATAGAAATGTCTCTCCCCCCCCCCTAAACGCAACAACGGCCATGGGATTGAGATGATATAGACAGTGAAGTTATACATCACTTCTATCACAAATGCTGCATATGCGTATAAATCGATAATCAATTTGTTTGGCTGAAAAAATACATTACTTTTGACCCTAACAAAACTTACAACACGGATTCACTCATGTGCACACTCGCTATTAATGTGTGCGCGCTTGTGTATGTTTAACTAAAGCGTTTATACAAATTTTGTTCATCTCTAATAAGTTGAGTATCTATATCCACAAGTGCCTCTCCAATGGGGCCCTTTCGGTCACTTCCCAAACCGGTCTCTCGGCCTCCTCCATGGCGCCCTTCGAACCTTCCCACGGCGACTTCCCAATCCGTTCTTCTTCAGTTCCTCCGGCCCAATAACGGTTCTCCTTTGGCCGCTCATTGGTGCCCTTCTTGCTCTTCCAAAGATTACCAATGGCACTAACATTATAAAATAAAAGTAAGAAAAAGATCTGATAAAGTATGAGAAAGATCTGTGAATGTATTGGAACTTGAGGGTAAAGAAAAGGACCGTC